GGGGGCAAGAGGGAATCCCGAGGCACCCCCAAAGTTGAAGGCCATGTGAAATGCCCCCCCCATCTAGAACTCTCACAACACACAAAAAAAGGACAGGGCTTTCAACTGGATGGTTGTGGCAGCCATCTTGATGGCTTTATTTATTTTATTTTATTTATAAATCAGATTTATACGCTGCCCATCTCACTATACAAGTGACTAGGCTTTTGACCATGCCTCATCTCCCACAAGCACCCCACCTTCAAGTGCAAGTAGTCCTCACTTACTGATTGCCTTGTTTAGTGACCAAAGTTAACCGTTTAAAAAAAAAAAAAAGTGTTGTGACCAATCCTCACATTTATGACTCTTGCAGCATCCCCTTTATTTATTTTATTTTATTTATAAATCAGATTTATACGCTGCCCATCTCACTATACAAGTGACTAGGCTTTTGACCATGCCTCATCTCCCACAAGCACCCCACCTTCAAGTGCAAGTAGTCCTCACTTACTGATTGCCTTGTTTAGTGACCAAAGTTAACCGTTTAAAAAAAAAAAAAGTGTTGTGACCAATCCTCACATTTATGACTCTTGCAGCATCCCTGATCACGTGATCGCCATTTGCGTGCTTCACAGCCAGCTTCCAGCAAGCAGAGTTAATGGAGAACGCAGAAGTAAAATTGCAGGTTGCGGTCATGTGATATTGTGCTTAACAACCTGCAGTGATTTGCTTAATGACTGCAACAGAAGTGACATAAGTCTGGCGCAGTCACATGATTTTCTGCTTAGTGACTGTGGCGCTTAGCGATGGAGTTGCTGGTCCCAATTGTGGTCGCTAAGCGAGGACTGCCTATAAATCAGAAATGTTCTGTGTTGTATAATGCACAGTTTAAGTCAAGACACCAGAGTACCAATGAGCTGGTGCAACAGCAAATGTTGCAAAGGCAGGGAGAGGGGAGGTGCCGCACTGTTGTTTGTATGGAGAAGCAAGCCTGCACTGTTAACTCTCAGTACCTTTGAGGGGTGCTATGAAGTTTGCTGCTTATTGAATTGCTCCTTCCAAGTCCCTGCGATCCTTGTCCCGAAGGGCATTAACCCGCTTGTACTCTCTGTTGCAGCTCACCGGGGTAAATGACAAAATGGCTGAGTACACCAACAGCGCCGGCGTCCCTTCCCTCAATGCAGCTCTGATGCATACCTTGCAACGGCACCGAGACATCTTGCAGGTAAGGCAGCTCCCCTGGGCCCGAGGCTTTCTCCTGGCAACTCTGGGAGAGGTGGCATTTGGCAGGCCCCCGGCAGGGAGGGACCACTCCCTGATCTGTTGGCGGAACCTTTTCGCCTTAAACCTTGACGTCCCCATGCACAAAACTGAGCTACAGTCTCTCCCCTGACTTTTCAGCTCTGTCCGGGCAAAGTGTGTCCGCTTCCATCTTTGCAAAGCGATGCTCTTAGGCGGGGGCAAAGCGTTTAGAATTTGAACCGTTTCATACTCAAAACAGCTCCAAGATGTTGAAACAGCTCGGTTTACACTGACAGACGGTTTGAACTTGAGGCACTTTTGTATAATCTGTAGCTCTGGGTTCCAGTTTTCTGTTTATTTCTTGTTTTCCTCTGCATGGAGAAATATCTCCTGTTCAGAGAAATCTGGGTAACAGCTCCCAGCACCGTGGTGCCTACGCCAGGAAAAGAACCCTTTCTCCCTTAGTTCAGGGCCTCAGAAAATGCCACAGACTCCTGTCTCAGTGGCCGGGCAGGTTCACGGAGGAGGAAATATTTTGCCCATGACTAGTAACCGATGCAAATACTAATATGGCGCCTGACTGGCACTGTCATATTAGTATTTGTTCAAGCAGAGGAGACAGCACGGGCGGCCCTGCTGGTGAAGTTGCCTGTGTTTGGTCTGGGTTGGATTTCTCCCTTACAGTAGATCTGATGATGCACCAACGGTGTCTGTTGGTCTCTCTGTTACGGCTCAGATCTGGTTTCTGGATCTGCAGGATCCTGGACGGGTGGATGGATGAGGGCTAAAATATTGAACCCTAAACCAACTAAGACAGAGGTGCTCCTTGATTAGGAAGCAAATAGATTGGGGAATAACATTTCAACTTGTCTGGGATGGGTGAAGATTCCCTCAGAGATCCAGGTTTTCAGTCTGGAGTTGCTTCTGAAGTCAGCTGTAACCAGTGGTGCTTATATCCAGTGGAAAAACGTGCACTGACTTAACTTCTGTTCCTGTTGAAGTCAGAGACACGTCTTGGTTATCTCTAGATTGGGTGGACTGCAGTGTGCTCTTCCTCGAGAATAGGGCTGGGTAATGTTTCAGAAATAATTACAAAAAAGTGCTTTGGGGTGTATGGTTTACTGTAATTAAGAGCAATTCCTAATAAATCATCCACCATAAAAACTAAAATAAACCCATAAAATCATAATAACCCCATCATGGGCATCTCATCACTTGCCATAAGCCCTCTGGAACAGGTTGGGGGTTTGTAATTTTTCAGAGAGGCAGACCCATGTACCCCCTGCGCAGTAACTGAAGTGAGATTTTGGCTGGATAGCCACAGGCTCAATCCAGTAGCCACTCCAGCATGGCATCAACTGACATACTTTTGCAACCCCAGGCATGCATGCATGCATGCATTCATTCATTCATTCATTCATTCATTATTCATTTGGCTC